AATAAATCTTTTTCAAAAATAAAGCTTTAAAAATCTTCACTCACCTAGAGATGTGTCTCACTCCCTCTCTCTCGGCAGCAAGGGTACTCCGTCAACATTAGAACCACCTGTCTACGCCCGAGTCACTCACCCGAGAGCGCTTTGCTCCCTCTCTCGGCATCAAGGATACTTCATCAATATTGGAACCACCTGTAAACCCCCACGCCCACCCCCTCCACCCCGCCAGCCGCACCGCAGCAGAGCGGCTCTGCCGCACACCACACTCCACCCCAGCACCTTCCCCAGGATTTCTCACACAGTTGGGCTGAATGTCTGCTAAATGCCAGGCCCTGTGCTAAATGCTGAGGGTAAGGGAGTGAAACGCGAGCGCCCCGACCTTGGGGAGCTCATGCTCTAAGCCCAGTTTAAGCCAGAATTTAAACAGTCTCTGAAGAGTGCTCTGCTGGACAACACAGCAGGTGCTGTGTTAGCCTAGGCAACACTCATCCCGCAGGAGCCCAAGGTAGGCAGGGCTCCTGTCCTAGGTATCTATCAAGATGAGACCACAGAACACATTTTTTTGAACAGCTCATCAACTTAATACTAATCATTTGGACATACAGGGTGGAGGACACTGTGTTCTTCCTGTGGGCCCAAAATGGCAGAACAGACGGCCGGCGCAGTGGCCCAATAGGCCAATCCTCCGCCTGTGGCGCTGGTACACAGGATTCTGTCCCGGTTGCCCCTCTTCCAGTCCAGCTCTCTGCTGTGGCCCGGGAGTGCAGTGGAGGATGGCCCAAGTCCTTAGGGCCCTGCACCCACATGGGAGACCAGGAAAGGCACCTGGCTCCTGGCTTCGGATCAATGCGAAGCGCCGGCCACTGCGGCGGCCATTGGAGGGTGAACCAATGGTAAAGGAAGACCTTTCTCTCTCTCTCTCTCTCTCTCTGCCTTTCCTTCTCTCTGTGTGTAACTCTGACATTCAAATAAATAAATAAGTCCTTTAAAAAAATGGTGCGGCAGGTGTTAACCACAGAAAGAAGAGGCATTGCTCCTCATCCTGCATCAGGGAGTGCAGTTCTAGGGAATGGGGGAGGGGGGACAGGGTAAGGTCCAGGGCAGGGGGAGGGGCTGAAAGGAACTTAAATTGAACGATTAATAATTGTCTGCATGTATCTTTTATCTGTCCTTCCAGGGGCTCTGACAATTATTAAATACAATGAGAAGTAAAGAATTTTAATGACTCTGGGGAGGAATTAGTAATCAGTTCCAGTATGCCGTGTTAGAGTGAATGTCGTGCCTTGGCTTATGGAAAGAAATCTGAATTTAAATATTACTGCCAGAAGAGTTTTAATGTTTTATTTAAAAAAAAACAAGGTGACTAAATGTCAGATCAATTAGTGTAATCTATTTTCTCTCACAAACCCAGTACTAGAATTCTGACTTGATTTTTATAACACCTTGTTCCTCAAGAACTACTACAGAGCTGTACCCTCTGGAAACAGTTTTAAATTTGATTCTTCTTTAAAAATTATAAATACATATTTGCTCTGTATACACATTTTGTAAGATCAAATTAAAAATAGATCAAATTCAATCATAATTCCTCCAAGCCTGAAAATTACTAAGGACTCATTTGGGGCTCCTAGGTAAACTGAAGTTAAGCCATTGGTATGCTAATACAAGTGGGAGAATGAAGATTGATTTGGGACCACAAGATTTCAGGAGAAAAACCCAGTTTAAGAGTACCCAATTCACAAAATCCTGTTTCTAGACAGGCACAGCCACACAGAGTCATGCTGGACACCACGTTCTTCCACATGCAGTGGCAAATTATGAACACGACAGGGAAAAGCCATTGCCTTGCCCCACAGCAACCAGGTCTTCCTAGTCAAGACCCACACTGACGGTCACCCCACCCTCAGTCCCATGCACTCTTCTTCCTGTGAAGGGCCTGAGGGGACCACAGAGAACTCCAGGTTCCAGAATTTGAACTCTTGGGTGTGTATGTGTGTGTGTGTGTGTGTGTGTGTGGAAAATCAGTTCCATTACTACTATGTTGCTAAGCTAGGTCACAAAAGTCTTTTTCACACATACCATGAGTAAAATAGGTCTGAATTGTCCCTGTGAACAGACATGCCCTATGTTCCAAACAACCAGCTTTTGCAGTCAACTTATTCCTAGATGTCAAGAGCTCAATATTATGTTCTTCCTCGCATGTCTCCTGCCTCTCCCCCTTTGTTTGATGTATAATGAAGTCCCCCATTTACCACATGTGGACACTCACTTTTGAATTGGGGCTCACTTTATGGGCTCTCATAGAGCAACAATCCACCAGAAGACCAACTATGAAACTATCGTAAGAATACACACATTGCCATCTCACACCAGCTTTCTGGCCCTCTCAGCCGGCACAGCGACAGAAGCATCCCTCAGTGTCCATCCTGACATCAGCCTAAAAGTATGAGTTGGGGAGGCTGCGCTTGAAGGCAGAGAGACTGTTGGAAGGTTTCTTACTTGCAGTTGATGGAAGACAATGAGGGCTTGGAACAAAGGAGTGGAATTTGGGCCAAGGAAAGGTTGGCAAGAAAGAGATGCAGTAGAGGCTGAATATGGAGGAGCCATCAGCTAATGGCTCATGGGGTGGGATAGGGTCATGCAGAAGAGCTGAAGACCTAAAAATCTGTCTCTCCCAACGCCAAGGCAGTGTGCTCTTGTGTCCTTTATTCCCCTACAGAACCTCCCCAAAACTAAGCTAGAAGAAGACAGGAAACACATCTGACTCATCTCCTATCCCACTCGCATAAAGGTACAGCACCAGCACCCAGTAGTATAACCATGCATGTCTTAATGGCCACCCCCACCCCAGCCCGGAAGTGGGATCCACGTATCTCCCTTACAGCAATAATGCCAGGTGGGACTTCGAAACCTCCTTTCCTGAAGCTCCCCAGTCAGCATCCATCCTTCCCTACCTGCCATGTTCTCTGGGAGCTGTGTTTCTACACTGTGAATTAGTCACTCCTGTCTTGACTCTACTCCAAAATTTCGAGCCCTCCAGCAGCAGATTCTGGCTATGCCACCTCCATCATCACATGAGCCAATTCCTTAATTAAATCTCTTTCAGTATGTACACATCCCATTGGCTCCATTTCTCTGGAGAACACTAATACATCCTCAGTCACTGTGGGGAGCAACTGGGAGCAACTCAGACTAGACTAAGTTACTGGAATTAAGACTTATTCTATGCATCTGCTCTCCCACAATATGGCGCTGGGAGAGGAGGAAACAGCTTCTACACAGCTGCCTCCAGTTCAACCAATAAACTGTAGGACCTGCTCCTGATTGGAGGAGAGCAGCGTACTCGGCGTGTGGGTAGCAGAGTTGGGATTGGTGGAAGAGGACTATAAAGGAGGAGAGAGACAACATGCACCAGGAACATCTATCTGAAGGAACACCTGTGCAGCCCCCGAGAGAGCCGGCCGGTGGTGTGCCGCTCCCCCGCGGAAGTGGGGAAAGTGGCAGGGGGAACCGCCCTTCCATGGAGGTGGAAGGGTCGGTAGCCAACCTGGGAAGGACCAGCAGCAAACCCGGGAAGGGCCGAGCAGACAAAAGAACAGCGCAGGGTCCTGTGTCGTTCCTCCACGAAGACGGGGAGCGACATAATGGTGCCGTGACTCGGATATGAAGCCTAGGCAGGGTTTAGTGTCGTTCCTCCGCAAAGAGGGGGAGCGACAAGTCACCAGGGTTTGGGGTTGTTTTTTTTTTTTTTTTTTTGTAAAATTTATTTATTTATTTAAAAGGCAGTTACAGAGAGAAAGGGAGAGACTTAGAGAGGGGAAAGAGATCTGCCCACTGCTCATTCTCCAAATGCCGCAACTACCAGGGCCAGGCCAAGCTGAAACCAGGAACCCAGAGCTTCATCCAGAACTCCCACGCGGGTGCAGGGGTCCAAGCACTTAAGCCATCTTCCACTGATTTTCTCAGGCCACTAGCAGGGAGCTACATCAGAAGTGGAGCAGTAGGACATGAACTAGCACTCATGGGATACCAGCATGTCAGATGGGGATATAACACCAGTCCTAGTCACCAGGGCTTTGAGAGGGGTCATTAACATATTGGCAGGAGAATACACCCTGGCTGGCACTGGGACTTTGTTGGAGATCCTGACTAAACACCTCCCTGGGAAAGGCATGGTGGGATGCTCAGAAGGTTTGATCCATGACTGCATATATGACAGGAGGCAAAGTGCCCCACGAGAGCAAAGAGAAGGAAGTAGAACTCTCATGTTAGTATCCTACAAGCAATTTAAGACATTATTTAGGCCCCCTAGAACCATCAAGAATCAATGCAATTTGATGCGTTGATTTAAAATATGCTGAAGTTTCATTTTCCTGTTTGGTCCATTACTCTGTGCAGCCATTTTATCCAAGGCCATTGGGGACTGGAAGATGGCCTACTCACAATGACTCCATTCTTAGCATGTTGACTTGACCCTGAGATACACAGTCTCTAGCCTGCTCTTCCACTGCTGCTGCCAGTCTTATTGCCCACAGAAAGCACTCAAGCATTTCTTCACTCATCGATCCCTCTCAGGGATGCCATGGTTCATGAATGAATGGGCTCCTGCAAATGTGTGTGATGCATACCTTTGTGAATCACTCTGTTTTGAAGACACATTAGAGGAACTGGCTATCGCAAAGAAACTTCACAAGTATCCCATTTCTTAATATCATACGACATTCTGATTTAAGATCATAAACCTCTCTAGTGGATTAACTTATGAAGTTCCTTTTTTTGTCTTAGTTGTGTAATTACTGAGTATAACTGAATAACAGTTATTGCAGAAATGCCTAAGGTATCTTAAGATGGTAGCTTAATGTCTCAAATAAATGCCAAGTTGTTCAAATCAAACTAACTGAAAGGAAACTTATTGAGGGATAAATATTGCTATTATCCATATTTTTACACATTTTTCTAAAAAAAAAAAAAAAACAAAACAAAACACACACACACACACACCATGAAGGGAATCAGAATCTATTTTTATATTCCTAGAGTTATAAACATTTGTATCAAAATATTTACAATTATAGTATAAGAAATAATCTATTAATGAAGAAGCCAAATACAGTACTAGAATACCCCACCAATGTAATGCAATTACATGACACATAAATGTCACAGAAAAACCAGTAAAAGACACGGGAATATATGGTTCGCTCCAGTCATAGTTCAACTTTTTAACAAAATGCAACTCTCTTTTTTGGATATTTCTGATATCTAAATATGCTTCTGCACATAAGACAGGGTTCTATAATCATGTGATGATTAAATCATAATTATAAAGTTCATCTTCCACAGTTTTTGCTGGCCAATCTCTCTACCTTAGCCCAAGTAGTTGGGTGACCTTCCCTAGACATTCCCATAAACAGAATAAACATAGAGAAATATACTTAGTAATAGTCCCTTTACATAAATACCAGCAACTATGGTATAACAACTTCCCAAAAAGAGAAAAATACATAAGAGGCATATAAGGAGGAAGCCAGAGGAAGGTAAGTAAGCAAGATGTCTCAGATTCTCCCTGCAGTAGATCTTCTTGGGATGGTAAAGAAAATGTCTTCCTCAAAAGACCCTTTAGGTAGAATCTGAGATGACTTAAAATGCCTGCCTAACTAGGAATGACATACTACTTCTATATAGAATGCTCCTGCGGGCCCATCTGACTGGGGACCACAAGAGTTTTTGCCTTAAGAAGAAAAAGAAAATATCTGCCCATCACCTGCATTTTTTAATTGTCTCATGGGATTTTCTCATTTTCCTGGGGGCAGGCACTCTGTTCTTATCATGACTGAAATAGCCTATGATTAATACTTCACAATTATATAGCACCTTTCACCCAAGGACCGGTTGTTTGGTTTTGGTTTCTGTGTTTTTAATCAACTTCCCGAATTGCAATGTCTCACCTGTGAAACAGGATGGGAGTTTGAGAGGTGAACGCTTTTAGCCTGTGTCAAAGCGAGGGCTGCCACTGAGCCCAGAAGTTGATTCTCAATATGCATAATTAGATCGAATGAGCTCAGGAGTTCATAATTTAGAGGAAGGGTAATAGAATCATGTTACAAGGGGCTGTGTCCACCTCTCTTCCATTATAAACTTACAAGAGACATTGACTGCACTCAGGGGAATCCTAAAAACATAACCCTAACAGAGCACTGTGGCAAGATTTTCCTTTGGTCCCATAGTGTATATGGTGCCTTCACCACTGAATTGGTTGCTAGTGGCTTAAGAAACTCCAGAAGAGCTGCCTTGGCTTTAAGCAAGAGGCCTTGGAAAGTTCACGGCAAGAGATGTCCACAAAGGACAGCTGTGTGAGGTCTGGTCTGGGCTCTGACCATCGCCAGGCCTTCCATGGTGAAAAGTTCTTTGTCTTGGTTTAGCTAACCCACCAACTTGGCCTTATAAATTACCTCTCTTCCTCCCATTTTGTCACAAATGCCACTGATTTCCACAGAGCTAAATATCTGTTCTAGAAAAAGACAATGGTTCTCTGGCCAAAGGCCTTCTTTGGCCTTCCCATCACTGCAGACTGGAACGTGATGTTTTGCTTTGGATCAGAAGGGTGGGATGGCATCCAAGCCTCATGTACTCAGCACAAAGACAAGATCTGCTCTTGCCAGAACTTGTACCGCTATTTGAACTTGGTGCAGAAGGCCTGCAGGACCTCAGCGCATGACCCACAATGCACCGTTGGAACTGGAGCCAGAGGGGTGGCAGCTGATGGGGCCCCAGGTGGTATGTGTTAACTAACAACTGCTGAGGCCGAGTCTGGTGGCCGGAGGGAGGCTCTCTGGCCTGCGTCAATGTACTAGCCAACAACACTCTCCCAAGGGCAGGGGCTTGACAGTAGAGAATCTCCCCAGCCACAGTTTGGGTTTGGGCCTCTCCCACCCTTCCTTCCCCCTCCCCCGCCCCCCTCCCCACTGTTTTTCCTGCACAACTTCCGCTTCCCTCCCAGATTCGACTGCTTCCTCCTCCCCACCCCCCAGGTCCCCATACACTTGTTCAGGCTTATTTCTTTCTCAGGACCAGATAGAGAACGCCAACGACGAAGGAGAAGCAGAAGCAGATCCAGGCCAGGATGAAGGAATAGCCATGGTGACTTCGGTCAAAAGTGTTGCTATCGCCATTGGCGTAACGGTGAGTGTAGATGGAGGCTCCAATCAACACGCACAGCCCTGCAGCGGTGGGAGAAACATGTTATTGGGTTTTAATTGTATTAAATTTATTCCAGTTTAACATCAAAGTCAAGGAAAGATTTTTATAATTGTTTAAAAAAAAATCCCATTTCTCTCACTGGTAATGGGATAATAAACTCTGATTATCCCAAACAGGAATCCTGTTGCTTTGCCCTGGACCAAGCTTGGGGTCCTGGAGATAAACTGGAGATGGCAGAGCTCTCATATCTGAGCTGGTTTGTGTGGCTGCAGGTGTGGCATAAAACACAAAACATCACGTTTGACACCCCACTTCCTTATCTGGACCTCAGCATATCTAGGCAGGGTATGCAGGGGTGCAAAAGAATATGGGCTTCCCCCAAACTGGGTGGACAGGGTGGGGAATGGCAGGAGAATGCAAAGTGAAATAGTCGTGGGCATTGTGGCTATGCTTTTGTCTTCAAGAGGACTCCCACCTTCCTGCCTTCTTCAACTTCATATGTACAACCGCTACTGATGGGCCCGGCCACCTGGCAGCTGCACAGGAGCGCTAGCCTTAAACAACGAAGCAGGTGAGGCTTCTTTGTCCAGGCAGCGATCCAAGATTCTCCACAAGAGACCAATCAGAGGAGAGAACTGCACAAGGCAGTATCCCTAAGCCGTGTGCTCATCCACGCCTGTCACTAGGAGCTCCCAAGGTAAGACTGACTCAGCAGCCTCCGCTCTGCACACTGGAGCCGGCCTCCCTGAGATACTCACAGCACACCAGCATGGTGGCCCCTGACAGGAAGAACCGATTTCCCTTCTCCATGGTGAAGAGCTGGAACACGAAGATGATGAGCGAGATGACGGAGAAGATGATGGAGAGGATCATAAAGGCTTGCACTGCCTTGAGGGCATCTGCAGACACAGGGGGAGGAGAGCAAGGGCATCAGACAACTCCAAGAATGGAGGCGCTTCCCCCACCACACCAAGGTCAGCCTTGCACTGCTGTCTTTGTACATACCTTCATGGCCGTATGACAGGCCTCCACTGCAGTCCCCACTGGTGCAATTTCTCCAAAGACCTACAGATGCGTTAATAGAGTCTGAAACCACCCAGACCTAGAATTGGAAAGAAGCAAAGCATAGATTTAAAACAGACTCAGCGTTATAAAAGGAAAAAAAGAAACAGCCAGCTTACTAAGTCTTAATAACTAAGGTCCCAAGAGATAAGAGAATGTGAGAGTAAGAAAAAAATTAAATCCCCTAACTTCTTTGGACTTCACATTCCTCATGTCTTACACACACACACACACACACACACACACCAGGAAGTAATTCACCCATAGTGGTTTAAAATTCTAAGGTTCCAAGAAACAGAAACTCTGCATGAGAAAATTGGTTTTAAGGATGAACAATTCACATGAGGGTGCTTCAAAAAATGTATGGAAAGTATAATTGAAACAGACTTGTATATGGGGACAAAAAATGCATGCACAGTGCTTTCATAATACACATTTTCCATAGCTTTTTGAAAAGTCCTTGTATACCCCATCAAGATTATTTCAGTTAAGGTCATGGCTAACAAGAAAAAAAAAAAAAGGTCAAGGGAAAATGTCCAACTGGAACAACAGAACCATGAGGGCTACCAGGAAAATAATAATGAGTCCGGTCAGTAAGCTGCTTTCCTGGGAACAGAAGGGTCAGGCTTCGACTGGCACAGCAGGCAAAGTAATTTCAGAATAAAACAGTGCAGCAAGAGCTTTCCCATGGTGGCAGCTGAATGTGGAAGAGTGACCACGATGCATTGCCCCGGGCTCACCGTGGAGCTGGCATCCCTTCCTGCCCAGCCTAAGCAATTCCTCCTCTGGTGCTGTCTACAGCATGCACGTGCTTGTACACACAGAACGCAGAGGCAGCGACGAGCAATTACCCGTTCCTCGCTCATCACACAGCCCTGCGCCAAGCCCTATATTAGGGGCTGATAATTCCCAGATGGGCGGTACTTTGCCATCCACTAACAGACTTTGAAGAAGTTTATCAGGCTTGTTATCCAGAGACACACAGGGTTGGCAAACAGAAGGGTGGAATTACAAAATCCAGAGGAGGCCCCACGGGAATGGGTTGCATCTTATCACAGCTATGCTTAGATTAGCCTTGGTTATGATCACACCCGCCCATGTTTGCTAAGCTCTTCTCCCTGAACTTGAAACCCACTTATGTTGTAACCGTAACAGGGACCGAAACAGAATCAGGAACCATCATTTGCCCGCATAGTAATTGGGGGCCTTGGTTTTTTAAGCCCAAGGTGCTGTCTTGAAAATTTGCAAGAAAAGCAAATTGAGCATTATAAACCACCACTAGAGGTCAGGACAGCCCAAGGTTCAGACAGAAACACCTGTGGCCATCTCTATGGGATATTTTTGTTGTTTCATTTGAGTTAGTGAGTTCAGTGGCAAAATCCCCCCATCACATTCTACTCTGTGCTCAGAACTTGAATTCGTAGGTCTGGCAACCAAAGCCTCTCCCCCTTCACTCCCATCTGTCGGGCTTTCTGCACCAGCCTCATGGGTGTCCTTGTCCCTGAATAGAGCTTGTCCTTCCAACACGTGCACCTTTGCTTGCCCTCCTAGCTGGAATGCACCTCTGTTCTCCCTCCACCCAGCCTTCCCTGAGGGGACTCCCTCTGTCTACTGTTCCTTCTCCAGATACTGAAGCAGCTCACTGTATCCAGCAGTCTCCACACACCCACAGCCCCTAGTGTGACCCCTCCCATGAGCACTTGCCTCGATCTCTGCGTTATTCCATTGCTGGAAGTACGAGTGTGTGAGTGTACGTGTGTATGTTTTCCCACAACTAAGCTAGAAGCTCACAAAGGGCAAGGATTATGGCTTAAACATCTTTAGTAGCTCCTTCTGTAAATAGCTAATTTCTCAGTGCATGAACGAGGAGAACAGGACTCACATTGGCGATGGTGGAAACAAACAGCATCACACAGGTGGCAATGTGGACCACAAAGATGGCAGCCAGTAACACCAACATTGTGGCTGGTTTGGTAACTTGTGGGTGGAGAAAGTTCCTGCAAAGAAAACAGAAAGGGACACAAATGGTTACTGCTATGCACTAAGACAATTCTGCTCTCCCCCAAGTGTGAGCTCCTTGCTAAAATGAGCCAGTTACAAGAAAAGTAATCACAATGTATCACATTGTATCAAAAGTATCACAATGCCATCATTTAGTCTGGAAAACACCTTGTTCACCTCATTCCCAGTTAGCCTGCGTGCCTATTCATCTATTTACATACACCTCAATGTAATTACAATTCTGTTTCTTCTCAGGTGGTTACATATTTATTTCTTTAATACAGCCTGTTACATTTTATGGCAATTATTGATGTGTTATTTGTGTTTCAGAGTCCAAAAGCAGGGCTTTGGGTTTTTTTTTTTAAGGTTTTTGTAATTTCCAGGTTTCTGTGAAACAATGTCAGAGAAATTTCCATTTTCCACTTGGGAAGCGCCCAGGCTCCTTCCATCCAACTGCTCAGCCAGCAATTTTAATAGCAGTGAATGCTTTTGCAGAATAACAGTTATTACTCAATGCCTATACACTGAACAGGCTACTAATTTGATCCCAGGTGTGATATAAAATGTGAGACACAACTTTTATTATTATAATGCTGTTTGGTATTCAATAATTATAACAACCTAATTACAGTTTAATGGTCTGATCACTACTGATGGAACATTGCAGACTACTATTATTGCACCCCAGGCTTTGGCTGTGGGTGCCTCGGGGTAGGGAAGCTGCTCTCCATCTGGGGCAAGGGTCACGAACACCACAGCTCAGGGTGACAGTTCTGGGATCTCTGGGAGTGTGCAGCTTGACGTCCCATCAAATGTGCCTTCTACTTGTGCATGATGTTGGCACAAATGCCAATCCTTCAGGACCTGATACAGAAGACAGGCAGAGGCTGACATGTGGCTGGGAGACTGAGAATTAGGACAGACTGAAAATGTGCATGAGTAAACAAAAGGCTTTCTCCATCATCTTAGCAGAGTTGGGGAACCTTCCCATCATGAAATGCGGAAAACAAAGGAAAGGTGAAGGATGCACATCGGGGAGGCTCTTTGGATTGATGTGGGCTGCAGAAGGAGTGCTTGGTCATAGCCAAGACAGTTACAATGCAGGGCAGCTGAAAAGGACATCAAAATGACAGAACTGGAGGTTACTCATACCCCAGGCAGGTGGATGTGTGGATGACCTCACCCTTGCGGGGAGGAGGCAGCAGGAATCAGCCTGCCATTGGCCCCCTCCTCTCTCTCACGCCACCTAATTTAATTGATGCTTTGAGCGCAGTTGAGCCACTTTCATGCCACACCGGGTATTATTAGAGAGCACTGATACCATCGTTCTAACACTTCAGGTGCCTTTTATCTCCTCTTGCTTTCCCCACCAGGCACTCAAAATCTAGAATGATCTAACATACACCAGCATGCCTTGCTCTTACAGCAAGAGATGAGAGGCAGACAGTGGCTTCCACCATCCACCATGACCCTCTCCCACAAGCCCTTCCCTATCTGGGCACATTCCTCAACCCAGGCTATTTTTAAGGCATGTGTGCAGTGTAACCATGAATGACAAAAATTATGAAGTTTATCCTACTGCCTTGGGGGAAGAGTTTGGAGCTTTCATGCCTGCTATTAATAATTTCCCCACACATTCAAATTCATTTTTGCTTCTCTCGGGTGCCTGCACACCTCCACAATTCTTTGCTTGAGTTTGACAAAAGTGAGAAGAGGTCTATGGACCAGACCCAAGCTGAGTTATAAACATATTATTTGGCTGGCGCCGCGGCTCACTAGGCTAATCCTCCACCTTGCAGCGCCAGCACACCGGGTTCTAGTCCCGGTCCGGGCGCCAGATTCTGTCCCGGTTGCCCCTCTTCCAGGCCAGCTCTCTGCTGTGGCCAGGGAGTGCAGTGGAGGATGGCCCAAGTACTTGGGCCCTGCACTCCATGGGAGACCAGGATAAGTACCTGGCTCCTGCCATCGGATCAGCGCAGTGCGCCAGCCGCAGCACGCTGGCTGCGGCAGCCATTGGAGGGTGAACCAATGGCAAAGGAAGACCTTTCTCTCTGTCTCTCTCTCTCACTGTCAACTCTGCCTGTCCAAAATAATAATAATAATAATAATCATATTATTTGACCTCATCTGTTTCCTCTATAAATTGGAGGTTGCAATGCCAAGTGTAGGGGAAGTGCAAGCATTGAATTAGATCACATATGGAGAGCACTTAGCTCAGTATCTGGCACATGGCAGGTACTAATAATGGGGCTGGTCAAAATTATTATTAATATTTTTCATCCACAAATCCAGGTAGCTGCTCCCACCTAGTCACCACATTTCCCTGCATGAAATACTAGGCGAAAACACCTGCTGTCTGGCTCACAAGGTGGTGCACATAACATCACTTTGGTCCTCTTAGAAATTGTCATTTTGTCTAATGCTTCTCCCTTGAGTGGAGAAATGACTAGGAACACACTCTAGAGAATGACCAGGAGAAATGCACTCCTCTCAGCCCATCCTCCTGAGACCCCAAACCTTCACTTCACTCCATTCCCACTCCTTGCCCCTCCTGGGGAAAGAAAGAAAGAGCCTGCCCACAGGGAACAGTATTATGGAATCAGTACTTGGGCGGAATCCTCCTTGGGCACTTCTAGGGACTTTCTTGTTCCCTTTGCTTCTCATTTACAAACCTTTTCCTCCTAATGGTAGGAAGTTGTTGAGGAACCAGGAACAGAATACAGCACACCAAGGGAGACCGCTTACCTGAGTGGCAGGAAACAGAGTTCCCTCCCCAGCAGGCTGTGGGGGATTCAGCAGCCTTGTCTCCTTGGGCTGCTCTGAAAACCTCTCCAGTGCGACCTGACTACCTTTCACCCCTGCTCACAGTCTCCACCTGGAGGACCCCTCCCGCCTCACCTCCACCTGGGCCCCTCCATTGGAAACCCCCTGGGGCATGGGAGTGCCTGGCCCCTGGATCTCACTGCTGATCTAAGCCAAGCCCCACCTGGTCATTATTCCCCACCTATTGCAGGCTGGAAGAGTGGGTGGAGAAATCAAGCAAAGAAGCAACTCTTTCATCTTCAGAATTCTGTGATTGTACTGTGTCTTTCTACCATGAAAAGCATCAAAATGTCTTGGATTAACAAATGTTCTTATTGTACAAAACACCCAATTCTCTCCACTTATGGCTGCAGCCAGGAGTAGAAGTTGTTTAGCTGGAGCTATTACATAACACGTGTACCTTCGTCTTTCCACTGCCCCAAATTTGTCGGGTATTATCAGCATCATCCGTCGTTAGCTTAGAGGGGCTTCCATGATTTTCCATGGCCCTCAACCAACACTTTTGGAGAGGGAATGAGGTGACATCTGAAGCTTGTGTGCTGGATCATTGCTAGGCACCCCATCTCCATGTGAGAGACCCCTGGTACCCAGAGGATGTGTGTGTGGGAATCTATCAAAGAGCAGAGTGGAATGGGGGTAGAAAACAGATTTCATGCTCTTAGCACTCCACCTACCCATCCTTGGCAGTGTGGCTTACAGACAGCCTCATTCCCTGCCGCTGTGTCTCATTCAAAGGCACTGAGAAAAGACCCTTCTTAAACATTTCTGTCACTGAAGTATTGGCCGCTATATACACTGGTATATTTATTTCACTAAAGTCATAACAGACACCTCCCTCATGCGTCTCTAAAATGGTATAGGTGGTACTCCACGATAGAAATCACGCCCTCCATCCTAACTGGGCAGCTCAAACCAGGAGGCAGCGAATGACAGCACTGCAATTCTGAACCCCACCCCCACCCCCCCACCCCCGGTGCAACACTTGTTTGTGCAGAGCACCTGGTGCACTGGGGAGTCCCATAGCAAGTCCTTGCTTGTTTAGAATTCCCGTAACAATGGCATTAGCTGTAGAGCTCTGACGCCCAGGTCTAGGTCCTCAGAGCTAGGGAATTCATGGTGTTCTTACAGGGCAGGACCCCTTTGGCCACACTGTCCCAGCCAAGCTTGTTGACACAGGAGTGGTCAGGGATTGGCTGGGAAACTGAGGCATGAATGTTCACTCCAGGGAGGGGTGGTTGTTAGGAGAAATGGGAATTAGAGACTTGGAGCCACACCCAGACCTCTGTTATCCCTTTTCTGTTCTTTCTTCTGCCCTAATGGGCAGCCTGCCAGTTCCCTTCCCACGCGTGCCATCTTTTGTTTCTGACCACGTTTCTCCTTTTCTTCCCACATCGCCTGGGCCATGGAACAGCCATGGTTTCTTTATGCTCCTGTCTCTAATGAGAGCCTTTCCACCTCTCTCAATCTTGTATGTGGATGAGGTTCTTTACTCACAGAAACTTTATTGCAGTCAGTTGGAAATGACCCTGAGGATTGCGAATACTAGTAATTATAGCTATAAATGACTGACCAGTGTCGGGGAGGAAAACATGGTGAGAGCTAACCATCTTCTATAGTTGTCACCATGCTCTTAAATCTTCATTGGTTTCCTGCCTCCTGCTTGCACCCACCCTGGGTTAGGGTGCTCAGAGCAGAGAGGAAGTAATGAGGGTGCTGTTGGGTGCCTTTCTGTTTCTGGTGGGGACTGATTCCATAGAGATATTGAGCATGACCGACTGTGAAGGAGCAGTGGGCACGTTCAGATTTGCAAGCATTGGCTCCCTGATTGCGAGGCCAGGGACCTAGTAACATCTTCCCCCATGGAGTCTGTGTGCATTTACTGAATCCCCACAGGGCTTGTCTGGAGAATGGTCCATAAGGTGGTCTCAGACACCATCGCTGGGAGCAACACCCTAGAAAAACCTACTTCCAGCAGAGGAAGTGGTGGGAATCCCAGGGCTTGAGTCACTGAAGAATTAGCGAGAGCCTGGTAGCTCAGTAAACCAGGGGCTGGGAGTCCTAGGAACAGTGAGGGAGTCCCCTGGAGCTCAGCGTTCCCTGATTCAGTTGAGAGGGGGTGAGATCCTCCCAGAGGGGAGGCAAGGTGGAGGGTTCTCTGAGAAGCACACAGATG